TGGTCCATGCCATCCCGTACTATGCCATCAAGCAGGCCTGTGGTAAGGTTCAGGATTTAGGGTTTATAGGGTTTAGGGTGGTACTCGAAGGATCATGGGACTTAGTAAGTAGGGTTATAATTAAGGTAACTACTTCTATTTACTCATAACCCCAGTTAAGGGACTTATAACCTTACTTACAAAGTCCCATGATCCTCCAAGTAGTTTTAGGGCCCATGCAGGGGTTTTTGGGCGGGAGCACCGGGGACTGCGTTCCGTGGTCTGGGGTTGAATGGAGTCTTTGCTCTTATGGGTTAGGATCCGGACCCCTGAGTTCGCAATCAGAAACCTGACAGTGGGTGACGAGAAGCACTGAACTATGTCTGAAACCCCCCTAAACCCTAAACCCTAAACCCCAAACCCCTCAACCCCAAACCCCAAACCCCTCAACCCTAAACCCCAAACCAAACCCCTCAATCCTAAACCCCAAACCCCTAAACCCTGAAAGCCGAGTGCCTGAATTGAAACCCCGAAGCCATGACCTCCACCTCTGTACACCCTAAACCCTAAACCCTAAACCCTAAACCTACTTTCCAGGGTCTTGGAACCTGGGAGTTCCTTTTCCAGTTTGGGTTCAGGGTTTAGGATTTAGGGTTTCGGTTTTGGGGGTTTAGGGTTCAGGGCTTGTGGTCTCAGGGTTTAGGGTTTACGATGTTGGCTTGAGGGTTTGGGGTTTAGGGTTTCAGATTTGGGCTTGAGGGTTTGGGGTCTTTTGGGGTCTTTTGGCTGAAGATCTTGGCTTGAGGGTTTAGGATTTAGGGTTTAGGGTGTCCGGTCTAGGATTTAGGATTCAAGTTGAGGGTTTAGGGTGTGGGGTATGGTGCCTCATCTTCTGTTTTCCCGTAGGGATCTTTATCACTTGTGAGACAAAGCTGCCTGAGTAGCTACGAGCCTCTTCCTTGTTTTAGTGGTTCCCTCATATCACTTTTGTATAAGGCCATCAACACTCTACGTAGTCCAAGAGCCTTGGCCCTAAGCCCTAAACCGTTGAGTTCATGGCTGAGGGCTGGAAGTGTTGGGTTTAGGGTTTAGGGTTTAGGGTGTCGAACTGTCATAAGCCTAACCCCCCGAAAGATTTAGGAAATTTAGGGGTTTTAGGGTTTTTGGCTTCGGGACAAAAGGATCCAGTTCCGAGCAGAGCCTCCAGATACTATCAACACAAATCCCCCAACAAAAGTGGTGTTTGGCATTTGCGGGGCTAAACCCTAAACCCTAAACCCTCAACCCTCAACCCTAAACCCTAAACCCCAAACCCTAGCCTAGGGTAATGTAGACTTCGGAACAAAGAACCTACCCACCCTAAACCAAGAACCCTAAACGGTAAGCTGCTCGTAGCCCGAGCCATCCCTGAGGGATTGCTGACCGTGGAGAAGAAGGGAAAGACACTCGCCAGGGCTTTTGGCAGCCGGGTTGTGGGTGCAAACTTTCGAGGTTTGTGGGCTCCGTGGGTTTTAGTAGGGTTTAGGGTTCAACGTTTAGGCCTTGTAGGGTTGTAGGCCATTGAAGGCTCACATGAGTAAGGCTAACTTGTTTGGGATGTTTTGTTGGCTGTCTTGCTCTCCTTAGAAGCCTTTCTGGTAGAAATGCCGTCGAGAGTACATGTCGGGTGGACTCCTACATAGGGTTTACTGTTTAGGGGGTCCTACATGATGTCAAGTGTTTTGACACTGTTGGTGCTGTTGCGGGGATGCTGGTATTATAATATAATATAAAAGCCTTTCCTATGTGCTGTCGAGTTAAGCGGATAG